CCCTTTGATTTACACTAATTTTAAACATAACATCTGATCTAACCTTATTAAAAATTAATCTGCGAATTGTGACAAAGGGCCGGCGGGTCGCTTGAGACTGTGAACCCCTTTTTTCACGTTGCACGGAAAAGCGCCTTCCTGGTTGAAGGAAGTTTGCGTTAATTGTCTCGTCGTTTTTTGCATTTGAATCGCTGGCTCAGTAAAATATGGAACAATTTTGCATAAAACATCAAAAAACTGAATATTAATTCCACACAAGTTCCAGTTTCTGCAATGGACATCATTTGCTTTATTTATGAGCGCTAAATTGCGGCCTCGATTCCCAACAAACATTCATTTTCCATAATTATTGTCATTTAAATCGGTGCAATTGAAGGTGCATGTGCCCGGTAATTACTAAGCCTTGCACGATGACGAGACTGTTTGAAAGCAATGTGTTTTCGAATCCAAGAAAGGCCCATCAGAGTGGAAAGAAAGTAAATTGTTACGAGAAGGGGGCAAATCGATCAATTATTCAAAGATTAATTAGAGCAATCAATTGGAACGTCACATCTAAGTGAAACTCCACACACACGGAAAAGGTCAGCAAATAATGGTATTTCAGCCCAAAGTGCTGCAGGTTTGAGCGGTTTCTTTTCAATTGGTTTTTCAAAATCGTTTTTAGCGTAACGGGCAGAAGTTCGAACACCTCTTGAGTTCGAAACAAATCTTTTTCTCCACAGATTCATATCGGAGGATTTCCTTTCACCTCCAATCACCAAAGTGTTTTTCTCATTTGTCGGTTACTGACTTTCTTCTTCTTCACTTGCCGTGGGTTTAATTGCAAACGAATCATTGAGCCCTAAATTCATTTTTGATTCCCGTCATTTTCACTTGAGCTTTTGGCATTTAAGCAGCAACAGATTGAAAAGCAGTGTTGCATAATTTATGACCTAGTTTTTTTGCAAATGTCTCAGTTTTTGATAAGAATTATTTTTTAAACCTATTGTTCCTCTACTCCCTAAACACTCCCAGGGTATTTCAGAAGAACTTTCGCTGATAGGTGTGTTTGAGTGCGAGGTTCATTCAAGTCTCAAAGCAGCGTACCCGAGCGGAAAATTGCCCAAAGGAAAAACTGAACAAAATAATAAAGTCTGGCGTTTAAATTCAGGCAGCGGTAAGACCTTTTATGTCGGGCCGAAGGTATGAAGCAGGTAAATAATTGATTTTAAAAGCAGATCCTAACATGCTGCAAGGGACGAATGATGGGCGAAATGAGCAAACATGGTTGCGAAATGGTTTTTCGATGCTCCTGTTCCGCCGAAATTGTTTCCGTGCCTGACACTGACATTCCATTGGGGTTGGCTTTTTGCGCGCCCCCATGCGCCCGTTCGGCAGTGCGCCCCATCCGCGGATTTGCGGGCGCTTTTTTCGCAATTTTCCCAACACTTAGGGTTGAAGGACTGGGATTAATGCGGGCCTGGTGCGCCCTAAATTGCCCGGTTAGTGACAGATAAACTGGAAAAAATGTCTTTCCAGCCGCCGTCTTGAGCGGTTAAGTGTCCTTAATTTCACGGGGGTGGGTAATTAAAAAAGTTGTTTTGCGAGGCCCGGGGGACGTATTAAACAACATAATCCAGGCCAAAAGGTGGAGCCCGAACCGGGGGGGCGAGTTAATTTATTGCTTGCAAAAGTCCATCCAATTGGGCTGGCGCGCAAACGAAGATCAAAATGGGCAATTTAAAGCCCGGGCTCAGTCCGAAAAAGGTTTGTTCTACGTCCTCTATAATTACCGAGGGAAAAAGAAACTCTTAAACAATTACCAAGACCGTTCCGTCGATGCGTTTTCGTCGGTTCCCGAGGGACCGCGTCAATGTCCTTTTTACTTGTCAAGAAATTTTATCTTCCCTGATTGTTTCGATCGAAAGTTGCCGGGATTGTCTTTGGTTTTAAAGGGCCGAGAGGACCTGATTTGTCGGCTCCTATACAAATATTAGGCGACATCGATTTAAGAGTGGATAAAGAGTGCACTATTGGGCGCGGCCTTTGCTTGCTCGAAGATTTGCGCTTCGTTTAAAGGGAATAAACGGACATTGCGGCTTTGATCTTCGCACGTTGCTAATCTAAGAGTTGAATCCGATCTGGTTTCGGGCCGAGAGCTTTACAAGCGAGCTTTTTCGGAAAGAGCGTAAAATGCATAGTTCATCAGCGTATGGGGTGATATTTGCAGACACGCACTTTGCTTCATAGATTTGCGATGATAGAGCTGAAAGACGCAACTCTTTCGAGTTACAGAGTGGTGACATTTTTCCTTTGGGCTTTTGCAAAATTCAATAGGTGCCTATATTTACAAATAGGAATACTGCACATACAAGCACTTTAGTCCACACTTTTATAATTTTTTAACCCCGCAATTTTTTATGGTGCGCCACTGAAGTCTGCGGAAATTTTCGTGAATTCTTGGTTCAATTCAGAAACTTTTTTCTTTCTTTTATTTTTTTGCATCTGCCACAGTTCTTGAAACGAAGTGGTACTTTGTAATCAATGAGTTTTTAATGCCATTACCTGGTAGAAGAGAACGATTAAAGGGAAAGTTTTGACATCAGTTGAAACGTTGAAAACTTTTGCGGCTGTTTTTTAAGCTCAGTGTCCTGCCTTCGATAGAAGAAATGCCCCTGTTTGTATAAATAGAGTGCTCCAGTCAATAATAAAAATAAAATTGTGTTTTATAGACCGCGACCGCTCAAAATTAGTTTTAAAAAACCCAAAAATGTCGATAATTTCGGACCTGACCACCTCAATGCGTTTTTCAATGAGCCCGTTCCAGTCAACAATACGAAAAATAGCATCGGTTAAAAATCGTACTCGCACGAAAATTGCTCAAAATGAAGCAAAAATGTGGATTTTTCGTATCTGAAGCTTCAAGTGTGTTTTTCAATGAGCTCGTTGCATTCCTCGATTCTTAGAGATGGAAATGATGTAAAATTTGAAATGTTTTAGAAACTTGATATTTTTTGACAAATTTTTTTGAGTTTTTTCAGCGCAATAGATTGTTTCCGGCCTTAGAAGTTCTCTATTGTGCATATTTAAGGTTTTTCAGTCAACAATAAGGAAAGTACCGTTGGTTAAAAAAACCAAAATCGCTCAAAATCAAGCAAAAATGTCGATTTTATCGAATTTCAAGTTTCAAGTGACTATTTGAATCAGCTTGTTCCATTCCTCGTTTCATACAGATCAAAATGATGTAAAATTTGAAGAAAAATTCGAAAAATTTCTGTGAAAATTAAAATTGCATTTGCAAAAATTTCAGACTGTTGAGAAATTAGATATTTTTTGAAAAAATCGACTTTCACCATTTTTGATCAAAATTGAAATTTGATGATATGAAATGAATGATGAATTAATTGAATTGATGAAAAATTATTTTTTTTAAATTTTTTCCACGGTATTTGAAATGTGTTAAAAAATAAGTACCTACTTCCAAACGCGAAGCCTTGCAATAGTCAACGCTGCGTATTTCTAGAAGAGCATTTTGTCAATAAATGTGGAGGCTTTCAATCAATTCGGGGCCAGTTGAATTTCAACTTTCTAAACTTCTCTTTATTGTCCGTCACAATCGTGCAACTCTGAAATTTTGGATATTTTTACGAAAACCGTTTGCCAATAATTGTGGAGAATTTCACTTAATTCTGAAAACTTATCGAACTTTTAGAAAATTGTCAAATATTTTCTACGGTGCCTCAAGGTGCAGCCTTGTTTTAAAAAACTGAGAACTTTCAAACACCATCGGAAGATTCTAGAAGAGTCTTTTGCAAATGAGTGTGGAGCAGATTAGGAACCATGCAGACCGTTCAAAATGAGGCAAAAATGTCGATTTTTGTATTGATTTTTGAAGCAAAAAAGTGTTTTTTTGAGTTCAATGGATTGTTCCCGGTCTTAGAAGCTTCCTAATATGCATATTTAAGATTTTAGGGTCAACAATAAAGAAAGTGTCGTTGGTTAAAGATTGTAACCGCTGAAAAATCGCTCAATTTGAACAAAAAATGTCGATTATTTCAGATTGGAAGCTATAAGTGAGTTTTTCCCTGAGCTCGTTGCATTTCTCGCTTCTTAGAGATGAAAATTATGTAAAATTTGAGACACTGAGAAACTTGACATTTTTTGAAAAAATTGACCCCCTGAAGAAAAATTTGCGAGTCTTTAATCAAAAAAGTAATGTCGGTTGAAGGTTGCAACCGCTCAAAAATGGGTTAAAATGGACCAAAAATATCGATTATTTCAGATTTAAACCATCACGTGTGTTTTTCAATGAGCTTCTGACATTCTTCGTTTCACGGAGATGAAAAATCAAGTAAAATTCGATACATTTTGGGAAACTTTATTTTCTTTAATTGTTAGAAAAATTTCGATTAAAATTTAAATTTTCACATGCGTTTTTTTTACCTCATAAAAATTTAAAGCTTTACATGCGTGTTGTTTGAGCTCAGTTGATTCTTTCCGGTCTAAGAAGTTCTCTCATGTGCATATTTTACGCGTTCGAGATCGCAATTGCTTGAAATATACCAAAATGTTCAGATGCAAATCATGTAAAATTCGAGACATTTTGAGAAACTTGATTTTTTTTTATTTGATCATTGGTGGGAAAATTTTCGTCAAAATAAAAAATTTCACATTTCACAACTTTCCATCATTAGTTGAAAATTCATACACACTTCTCTAAAACTCAAATTATCAATGGTGCGGACAGCGGAAAACCATCGACGTTCTAACATTTTGGCATCATTTTACTTACATAAACACTTTGCAGGAAATTAATGAGGTTGGCGCTACTAAAATATACCAAAATGTTCGGTTATTTTCAATCCGAAGTCCAATGGGTTCCTGAATAAACTCGTTGCATCCCTCACTTCAAGGCGCTGAAAATTGTCGAAAAAACAGCAACAAAATGAGCCATAATTTCCAGTATCTCAATCTGAATTCGCATTCGCAGAATATTTAAAGGTGAAATTACACACAGTGCATAGAATTGAACTGGACTTTATTAATACGCATTCCAATGAAATATGTTACACCAGTACCAAAAAACAAACAAAACATTATATAATTAAAAGTATGAAAGGAACAAACGTAACGAGGAATACAAGGAATAAGGAACACAATGACTAGACTTGAGTACTATTTGGTACCTAGGCAAAATAATCGTTATAATATAGAAAATCGTATGGGACACTATGTACAAGATTGCTTATGTACAGAAAGTCGCTTGGTAAATGTGGCTGCGTTCAATCAGCAACATTTCCTCGCAGAGAATCATCATCATCATCGATAAATGTAAATCTTTGGCTAAAGTGATATGTTTCGGTTACCCTGTAGAGGAATTGTGAGCTTGTTCAAGAACGTAGGGATGTACGCTATCGCTTAGAGTTAACTTATTATTGCTTCTAATGCAGTAACTACATAACAAAGGGTCTATGTACAAAGCTATTCACATGAGTCAAGGTACTTAATTCTTAAGCTATTACATTATCTAAACACTATATATTATTGCACTTTCAACGTAGAACGAAACCGAACTGAGCTTCAATAATACTGACTTAGCTGACTGACTAGGTTTGGTTTAAAGAACAGAACAACGCCCGTGGGCATCTGCTATGTACAGAAAATTCGTTTTCATGAGACCTTGTTTTGTATAAAAATTGTACTATATAATAAGAAATGTACAGCGACTACGGACTGTTGGTCGAAACCACTGTTAGCTTGGTCGAGCCTCAAACAAGGAGCGACCGGCCAGAGAAGATCGATGTGGCAAGCAGCAGAAGGTTATCAATAATTTAAGAGAGCTTTGGCCAATATATCACAGCACAACACAGGGTAAACACTATTTTATACCGTGCTTGTCAATTTACACAACGAACCTCCAATCTTCTCTGGAGCCGGGCCGTTTCACCGTTGATTCACTCTTCTTCTGCAGAAAGCGCCCAGATGAACGAGCTCTGATCTCTCAAGCAGTGTGCATCGGTTTATACATGGATAGTTCAAATTGAACACTTCGCGTTTGTCGCTGATCAAAACGGGTCCGAAATCGAATCGAGACACTGTCCGGAACTGCCCTAAAACCCGAAGTTCACTTCCGGTCAGTGTTGCGCGGCGAATTTCATCCGTTTCTGCTTCTGTCGCTGATTGCAGAACCACACGCGTACCACGTTCTTTTTCAAGTCGAGCTTTTCCGCGATCGCGGCGATTTTCTCGCCACTCGGCCGCGGCTGTACCGCAAAGTACGCCTCCAGGCTGCGCTTTTCCGGCGCCGCAATTGAGGTCCGCTTCCGCTTTTTTTCACCGGCCGGAAGCACACTGGGCGCGTCCGGATCACGTCGCTTGTTCTTCGCCTGGGCTTCCGCCTCCTCCAGCCATGCCTGCAGGATCGGCTTGAGGGCGATCATGTTGTTGTGGGACAGTGTGAGCGACTCGAACCTGCAAATCGTCGACTGCGAGAGGGCGCCCACACCGGGAAGTTTCAAGTTCGCCAGCGCTTTGCCCACGTCCGCCTGCGTTACTCCCAGCTTGATCCGTCGCTGCTTGAATCTGGAAACAAAGCTGAAATTTAGGTGGTTATTTGGCGTCTCTTTGAACCCTTCAATTTGGTGGGCTGGAGCCAGCTGCATCCAGCTCTGGAATTATTTGAATGCCGATTAATAACCGGAATCGGCTACCAGGAAATAGCGGCTACGTTATTTGCCTAATTGTTACTAGAATGAATATTTACATTGCATGAATATTTCACTGGGGATATTCGAAAGAGAGTGAGTGGCTCACTAAGGATGCATTTATCCGCTTGTTAAGGAACATTTCAATATTTTATTTACCGGTTATTGAGCGCAAATTTCCACCCACAGACGATTAATTTCCATCGTCCACCATGCCTATTGCTTGCAAAGAGGGCACCAAAATGTGTCAAACACCTGAAGTAGACACCAGAAGTAGAAACGAATTCATATATTAGACCTGATTTACAAAGAATTATGAAAGAAAAATCAGTGTTTGTCTTTCAAAATTTTGGAAAATCAACGACAAAATTTCAAATTTAACTTCTCCAATTTCTCCATATGGAAACTTGAAGGAGAGTCTATATAGACTAGATGAATCAAGCCGCTAGAATAACCGATGCCCCAGAACAAATTCATATAGAAAAATCAATGTATATTGATGGTTCAATAAAGTGGGGAGTTTGTATTAAAACCAAAAATTAAAAAAAAATTGTTGATATCAAGAGAATTGCACACAAAAAGTAGTGCGATGAATGAAAAGTTGACTCCTGATTTTTCGTCCATTCCAGCGTTCCCACGAAATCTGATCAGCCTCCTCTCTAGTGGGTGTTTTGGAGTATTTTTTACATCTATGGCAATTGGACCCACTTGCTTGTTTTTATTTAAGGAAAATAATCGCCAATAGCTCGCCGATCTTAATCCCTGTCCTCCAAGCAACATGATTATCCAGCTCTTGAGATTTCCATGCGAAAACTGCACGTTTCTTTAAAATTGCGTAGAAACTTGACTCTTTTAGGGCTATGGATTGATTGAATCCGCTAACACCAAAACGGGGAAATTCTCGCAAAAATCACTCACGTGTCCAGTCCATTTGCTGAAAAAACAGCATTCATAGAGTGTTGCAAAGACTTCCAGGCGAAAACTGCACGCTTCTTCTGTCTCCGCTGTAAGTCTGTTTGAACATTTTTATTATTTTTGAAATAATCGTTTTTTGGCTTTTTTTTCGAAAACTGTTTCTGTGAGAGATTTTGAAAGATTACTAGCGGCTGTAACTTGACATTTTATTAAGAGTCACTTTTTTGCAAAAACGCTGTTATCGATTACACAATTAAAATGTGCAAACCAGTAAAGTTTTCGCACAAATCACTTTTTTGTTTTCGAATGTTTTCACTGCAGGTCCTTCCATATGGACGCAATAGTTGGCAAAGGAAATTTCCAAAAAAAATCTTTCTAGAAGCTTTTGAAGATAAACAGGGAGAACTTCGCAATTACTTTTTTGGCATTTCGTTGAAACCCCTTCTTGCTTGAGGAATTTAGAAAACCCCATTTAATCCTCATGTAAAATGTATGTGAGAGACACTGAAGCCTACGAATCTGCAATTTTTCTCCAGTGGCTCGCTTATTATTCGCTTTAGACAAAACGCCATAAGCACTTTTTCTGCGCATTTTGACTTTCTGCATTCAGGCCAGCCCTCAACATTTCCTTGTATCGTTAATTTCAAGATTTTTGAGGTTTATTTACAACAGCGCCTTCACCAAAGACCGTTCATGTTGAGGTTTGAAGACGCAGAATGACGGCATTTGAAGAGAACTTTTAAAAATTTGATCATCTTTTCATGGCTTCTTAGTTGAAACTTCCATAAACCAAGGCAAAAAATCACCTCCGCCCAAAGAACCAGTTAGTTGTCTCCTACCAGTGTCGTGCCCAGGGGCGGATTTTTTCGAAGTTTCTCAAGAACCATTCAATCTTCAATCTTCGAATTCGTTTTGGCATCGTTGGATAGAGAATTGAAAACTCGATTCAGTCGTAACAACCTGAGTGAGGAAATTCGAGTAGTTTTGACCCAGAAAGC